GCTTGACTCTATAGAGAACAAAACCCCCCAAACTATTTTCTGTTGCATACACTTCCAGACCTCTTGAGGTGTAGAGGGTGACTTTGCCTCCACATCTAAACAGGAAAATAAGATAAGTCTGGGGTTAAAGTGAGATTCAGTAGATGTAGTAGCACTAAGATCTGTTGGAGTGACTCACCATGGAGAAAAGAATCTCACAATGTTTTCTAAAGTGAGCTGAAGGAAATTTTCTTTGAGTTCAGGCTGTGATCAGTTGACCTGCTGCTCTTTGTGGATTTTAAAAAACGGAATTAAACAAAACCACAGCCACTGAGCACCTGTCCAACACAGAGTTTTACAGTGCAAATCACCACAGTACTGCAACAGTACGCAACATTTGAATAACACAAAGTTAGTACAGCTTAGTTTGTTGTGCAGGACATTTCACAATATGAAAATTCATAATTTATCAAAACACATCCCATAAAGGTCCAATATGTGATAAAAAATGGTGACATAACATGCCATTAAATCTGAAGTTTATCAAATGCCACTGAGCAGGCCTTATCGTTAAATATAACCTCTCCTCCTCCTCCCCTGTTTTCTTACATCTTTCTCCATCTGAGTGAAGTTAGCATGCTTTCTTTTCTCTCCCTCTGAAATGCAGCAGCTGGAACTTCAGCTAGCAACACACTGTGTGACAAACTGCACACAAACAGGTGGTGTTTGTGTTTTTGCTGATGTGTGTTGAGCTGGCAGAAACGTTGCATTTGAAATTACCTGCCTGTCTTTGACCCCACTGCAAATTATATAAATGAACATAAATTAACTAGCCTGCTTTGAAAATGTAAGGAATAGAAAGCAAAGATATTCATGTAAAAATTAGGGAGTAATAGTAAAAAGTTAGAAAAATAAGTACTTAATTAAAGTACAGAAAATTCTACTTAAGTACAGAAACGAAGTATCTGTAATTTGTTGCTTCCCAAGTAAAAACAAACAGTTTTACATTTTTAGTCACAGTAAGCGACAAGTTCACAACATCATCTTAAAATTTCTTTGTATTATTGTACAGTCTTTACCTTACAAAATAAATGCGCTTTGAGGCGACTGTTGTTGGCGCCATATAAATAAAACTGAATTGAATTCAGTTGAAAAATTCCAACATAATACTAAATTTCAAGGTGGTCAGCCATACGGGTCCTTTGAACAGCAGAGACCTTCACTCAGTCTGTCCTTTTCTACATTAAGTGCTGTGTAGAAAGTATGATGATAACCAAAACCATCTGGGTTTTTCCTAACCGAAAACCTTGGCTGACTAGTGAAATCCAGGCTCTGTCTTTGCTTGGTTTGATACCACCCCTCCCCTGCACCCCCTACAGAGTAAATTAGTCCATCACCATCACCCATCACAGAGCGCTCAGCCAGCTGGAGAACAGGAGCTATGTGAGGATACTCTTTGTGGACTTCAGCTCAGCTTTCAGCACCGTAATCCCAGACATCCTCAACACCAAACTGGACAACCTTCAGTTCAGCACTGTCACCTGCTCCTGGAACAAAGATTTCTTCACAAACCGGCCTCAATCAGTATGATCCCGACCTCCACCTTTCCCACCCCGCTGTCCTTCACCATCGGATCTCTGCAGGGCTGCATTCTCAGTCCCTTACTTTACACCCTGTACACCTATGACTGCACACGAACCCACCCAACCAGCATCATCGTCAAGTATGCTGATGACACCACGGTGTTCGGCTCATCTCTGATGGAGATGAAACAGCATACAGGGTGGAGGTAGAGAACTTGTCCTGCTGGTGCTCAGAAAACAACCAGAAGCTGAACGTCCTTAAAACAAAATAACTCATAATGGACTTTAGGAGGCGCAGACAGGTCCACTCCCCTGTGACTATGAATGGAGAACAGGTGGATTCTATCTCCACCTTCAGGTTTCTGGGCACACACGTCTTTGCCTATGTCACCTGGACCCACAACACCATTGCCCTGGTAAAGAAGGCCCAGCAGCTGCTGCACTTCTTCTGTGTCCTAAGGAAGAATAACCTGGACCAGAAGATGCTGCTGGCCTTCTACCGCCCCCTAGTGGAGAGCGAGCTCTCCTACTGCCTGGAGGGGCCACGCCTGAGAACAGGAAGGCTGCACAGAGGTTAATTAACACCACCCAAAAAATCATTGGCTGCCATCTGCCACCCCGTGAGGCCTCCTGTCTCAGGAAAACCAGGGCCATCACAGATGACCCCTTGCACCTCACCCACCACCTGCTTGATCACTGCCCTCTGGGCCATTTGGACTGTTAACAAACACTATGCCCCCACACCCCACCCCTGCCCACCTACTTCACCAATCTGATCCACGGCCTGAGTAACCCTCACCACTCAGGCCACTCACTCACACACACAGACTCTATATAGACCAAGTCTTTTCTTTGCTCTCCAAGCACTTTGAACTTGTTCTTAAATGTGTGTCTTTCTCTTATTTTTGCATACATTTCCCATATTTCTTATTTATTCCTGCTGTCTACAATTTGTATTTGATTCTGGCACAGCTGGTGTATAGCACCCACAATTTTATTGTACATGTACAAAGACAATAAAGTTCTATTCTTTTCCATTATATTCTATTCTACTAAAAACTCTTGGCAAAACACCTGAACCGTATGGAAACATTTCTAGTAAGCACCTTTAAGCAGAAATTCCTGTGGTGTGATTATTGAATCTTGCATTGTAGACTCACTTCCTGTGAGTTCCCCTGCAGCCCCACTCTGTCTGTTTACAGGTTAATCAGACAAATTGTATTTTTATGCTAACATAAGCTAAGAAGAACATCATGAGGCTAATCCTTTAAAGATATTAAATATGAGCTCATAAAATCAGACTAATGTAACGCCCATCTGTCTTCCTCAATAAACACGATGGGCGCTTAATTACTTTCTCTCTCAAGTCAGCTTAATGAGGGAATTAAACTCCTAACCCTGGTTGTGTTAGTGCCTTGCTCTACACAGTGATCTGGACAAGGAGCTGCAGAAGGCAACCATACAAAGGGAGACTGTGTGTATAAATGTGTGTGTGTGTCGTGAAATATGGCAGTGGTGGCTGCAGACAAAGAGCAGGTAGATTGATGATTGATTAGCTGTGGCTGTCTGGCTGACTGAGACTCATTGGCAGCCGTCACTTTGATGAATTACACCGCTGTGAAAAACACACTGCACTCTGATTACTGCCAGCGAGACTGGTGTGTGCGTGTGTGTGTGTGTGTAGTGGGGCTGATGGCCTGTATGTGCAGTGCATGTGTGTTTGTGCATGTTGCTACTGATACGCTTCCCTTCATGACTCTGAATTGCTCTGCAGGGATTGTTTTTAGTGGATGTTGCCAGTGTTGTTTCCATGCTAATCCACTGTGCCCATGTTCACACACCCAAAATCCTTGCTTAGTATTCTGCCGAGGGAAGCGTTACATCCCCACAAGTCTGACTCAAGGTCCTATACGCTGGTCATAAACAGAGGGCGATTTGTTCATATTTAACAAGACGGATGACAGGTATGTACCTTTTTTTGTTGTGCCACAGCTCCACCTGTCACAGGATGCACTGAATAATTTATGCCGATGAAATCCACGCTCTGCCTTTTGATCTGGCAAAGGCCGGAAGCATTGAAATTATGGGCGATTTATTTAATGAAAGATTTCAGGAGCTGACACGGGGTTGGACCCACACCGGTGTTTGATGGTTGACACTGATGTGGGTGGACTTAAGCTGCTGACTGCTGGTATTTTGAGATGAAAGTGCTTTCAAAGAAATGCACATTTTTAATTCAGGAAATCGGCACTCTGTTAGAAGGTGTGTGTCTATAACCCCAGCATTTCCCCTCATTGTCTCCAAACATCGTCATTTCTTTTATTCTTACTTTATCATGAAAGAAATGTATCAGCCTTTATTTTTTGTACGTCTACAGCTCTGCAGTGCAAATGTCCGAATGTTGCACCACAAATGGATCCACAGGTAAATTAGCTGAGAATATGAGCACAGCAACAAACCATTAAAAGCTCAGCAGACCACGATTTACCAAACAGGCAGTTAAAGCAGACGGTAAAGCAATCACAGGCAGGCAGTAAGCAGTTTTTGAGATTTTTCTTGAGGATAGAAACAGGTTTAAGGATTGCAAAAGCAGAGAGGACTGTTCATTTCTCCAGCACAACAACAAGTGGAGGGGGGCTTTGATTCGACTTGATCCTCCAGTGATGTGTAGTGAAAGTATACGGATCGGTGGCCTGTGGGGAACACCAGGACATGTCCTGGTGGCCAGAGGGCTGTTTTGGCCTGTGATGAACTGTCAGCTTGAACACTGATATTATAGGTAAACAGGAGTGAGTCTGCAATTATCTGCATGCTTGTCTACACCGTGGACAAGTCACCTGCTGAAAAAGGAAGGTGGAGGAGAGGGGGGCTGTTGCTGCATCTGAAAATAAGTGCCAGGTAAGGACCAGGCCAGGCAAATATATGCACAGTTATAGCCCAGGCACAATTTAGTGAATACATATCCATGTGTTCATAAAATATTTTATCATCTGTCCTTCATATTAACGAAATAATCTGAAATTTTAAGTAGAAGAAGAATGTGAAGAAAATAACTTGAGTATGTTGCAGACACACTAGCTGGACACTTCACTGAGTTGACACTTCATTGAACTGCTGTAATTCTTCATAGAATAGATTAAGCATGAAGACATTTGGTTCATGCTCATATGATGGGGAATCTCGAAGTTCATACAGTACTGTTATCAATGCACAGGCACTTTGTCGGCCACTAACAGTCACACTCCAGTGAAACCGTCAGGGCGACTTGGGGTTCAAAGTCCTGGTTAAAGATACTTCAGCATGTGGACTGCAAGAGCCAGGGAACAATCCACCCACCTTCACCCAAGGAGTTAGCCTCACTTCCTGTTCTTAGATGATAGGAGTGGTCTTCTGCTGCTGTAGTCCATCTGCTTCAAGGTTTGAATAAAATAATAATAAAAAGCAGATCAGCAGTTTCTGAAATGCTCAGACCATCCTGTCTGGAACCAACAATAATGATGCATTCAAAGTCTCTTAAATCACCTCCTTCATTCTGATGCCGTTTGATCAGGAGGTCATGCACTGAGGTGCTGTCATGTGATTGGCTGATCTGAAATCTATTTCAACAAGTGGCTGAACATGTGTACCTAATAAAGTGGCCGGCGAGTGTATATTTAATGCAACCAATTGATTTTGTTCAAGTCAGCTCCTCAATCACGTACATTTCACGTACTGCTTCCACTCAGAATTCACCTGTACGCACCTCTGTCCTCAGGTATGTTTTTTTATTGGCTTTTTAGTTTTTTGCTTGAAATCAGCATTATTATCCCAGACATGAGTCTAGTGTTTATTTCCCCTAAATATCTCCAATGTATTGTGAACATTTCCTTAATGCTTGAATAAAAAGAGATTCAGTTGAATATCACCTCAATACCTTGTGTGCAAGTGTAATTAATAAGCAAAAGTGTCAAGTTGAAGTTGACTTTTAAATAGTTTTTACTAGCTGTCCCAATAATCATTGTCTTGCCACGACCATGAAGTCAGAAGGAGCTTTAAAAATGGATAAGAGGGATGGGACAATGAAAATCTGACACAGCAGCAGTTGCTGCAGGTGGCTTGGCTGTACAGAGTGGCTTCAGACAGCAGTCACATCTGTCTCTGCTGAGAATGTCCATCACGTGTACTGTAAAAGTTTGTGTTTAATCAATAGTGGCAGGTGAACCTCTCCATAGCAAGCTAGCTAGTTAACGCCAGCTATTAATGAAAACCAGAAACAATTAAGTTAAAACCATAAAATAGTCAAACACTACTTCATATAACAATTACAAATTTACCAAGCACGCCGTGTCCTATTAATTACTGTATGTAATCTGATGTCAGTCACAGGTAGGTGTCCAATAATCATTTGATCCAGTAATTTGGGAAGTGATGTTTGAATAATTGAAAACGAAAAAGATATTTGTATTGAAAAGAATTTTTATTGTCCTTTACACTCTTTGAGACTACATTTTTTTGTTTACAAAAAAAAAAAAGAAGAAAAACAAAAACTGGCAGGGTCGATTTTTCAGATTTCAACTGATTCAGATGAACCACAAGAGCCAGCCGGCCTCTCATTTCATCACTCCTTCCCATCTTATATTATTTATTAAAAACAAGCCTGTAGTCCTCTAATATACATGAGAGACTAACACATAATCCCGCATACATATATCACGATTAGAGATGAAATACTTCAGAAGTGCTGGTGAATTCTCAGATTTTAAGGATTTCATCATAAAAAGATGCCCCCACAAACTGCATCTAAAAGATGGATGTATCCACCATAACATCATGTCACGAAGCCTCAAGCTGGTTTTCACCATCTTGGTGTTGAAACAAGTGGGGGAGCTTCTGCCCAGGATTTCAGACAGTACATATACTCTATTAATCCTCATCTGCCTTCATTACAGAGCATAATTTACAACATTTTATGAAATATGACCTAAAACCAGCGTTTGAGTCCAGACTGGCCACCTGCTGGTCATTAAAAAGACTGCAGACTTCTATTTTCTTACCTTGAAGCCATTTTTTTTTGTTGTCCTCTGCTGTGCAGTGCAACTCGAGCACTTGGAGCATTACTGCTGACGCACCACATTAACACAACATTAGACTTGAATCTAAAGGCAGGCTCATCATGTACAGTATAACGCACAGTAAAGTTACACAACCCTCTTTAAACCAAAACCTAATCAACTCATTTTCGCTCATATTTTCTCCTCACAGGTGTTTCAAGACTTTTTTTTCACCTGCGTGCCTTCTAATGTGGGTGGTTAGGCTCCCCGCCTGACTGAAACTTTCCCCACATTTCTCACAAACGTACGGCTTCTCGCCTGTGTGGACTCTCATGTGGACCTTCAAGGAAGTGGTGTAAGCGAAGTCCTTCTGGCATATTTGGCATGAGTACGGCTTCTCACCCGTGTGAATCCTCGTGTGACTCGTCAACCTGGAAAGGCGAATGAACCTCTTCCCGCAGGTGTTGCAGACGTGAGGCTTCTCGTCCGTGTGTGTCCTCGTGTGCCTTTTAAGCTTTGAGGCGTTGACAAATCTATTCCCGCAGGTGGTGCAGAGGTAAGGCCTCTCACCTGTGTGGGTTCTCATGTGGCAGAGAAAGCTGTTGCTGTGGGCAAAACGTTTGCCGCAGGTTTTGCAAGAATGCCGCTTCTCGCCGGTGTGTATGGCCGTGTGCCTCCTGAACGCCGACGGGTCGTTAAACCTTTTTCCGCAGGTGATGCAGAGGTACGGCTTTTCCCCCGTGTGCGTTCTCATGTGCAGCCGCAGCTTATCATTTCTTCTGAACGTTTTGCCGCACTTCTCACAGAAGTACGGCCTCTCATCCGTGTGGACTTTCATGTGGAGCTTGAAGGAAGCGCTGTAGTTGAAAACCTTCCCACATGTCATGCAGGAATACGGCTCATCGTCTGCGTGGATTCGTAGGTGATTTTTAAGCGTTGATTCATGTTCAAATGTCTCCGTGCAGGAGCTGCAGGAGTAAAGCGTCCCATCTATATTATTATTCGTAGTACCACAAAGTTCTTTTATTTGTAAACTATTCCTGCAGACTTGTGTGTTTTCATCTGTGTTGTTACAGACTTTCTTTGGTTTCGGCTCCGTTTTTAAGGGCATTCCTGAGTTTTCACATTTGACTCCTTCCTGTTCTCGACTCTCAGGTACAAAACAGGACAGAAGCTCGGCACTGCCCTCACAAACAGGAGTCACCATGAAGGCATCACTTTCCTGCTTTAGCACAAGCTGCTCTCCTTCCTCACTAATGCACAGCTCCTCCTGCTCCTCTTTAATCAGTGAAGGTTTCTGATCCTCTGGATCCAGACTGGCGTTCTTCTCCTGGATAGAGATTTCCTCTTCCTTCTTTGTACAGATGCAGCGTTGGTCTACAGGGACAAAGGGACATGAGGCAAAACGTGAGCAGATCGTTAGTTGGGATGTGACGGTGTGGAGAGACATTTGCCCTCCCCTCCCCGAACAAACACAAAAAAAAATGCAGGTATAGAGAAGAACCCAGGTGTCCCAGTTTTCCACTGGGACTTGAACTCAGCTTGCACCAGTGGATCCTTGCGCATCCACTGGTGCACCTGTACTTAAGGTTTTGCAAGTGAGCGAGGGGGATGTTACATGTAGTTTTACACTCTCTGTAGGAAGGTTTGGAAAGACAAAATGATCCAATTTGTCACGATGAACTTAAAAGGTTAGTGCATCAGTTACTGTTATTTATATAATATTGTTATTCATTGTAAAATAGTTTTAGGCGTTGTCAAAATGCTTCATATGTGTGTGGATTAGAGTGTGCATTTGCAAATCTTACTGTGTGCTTGTGGATCACACTATACCCATCTACAAACCCTTGTGAGGCAGTGGAAGAGATCTTAGTTCCTTCCAACAAACATGCCAACACCAGAGGTAGTGAGGAGAGGATAAAAGAAAAGAAACAACTGGCAATATAATAAGATATAATATAATTTTATATTTAGGGCCACCATAAATAAATGGTGCAGTGTGAGGGGTATAGACACAGTGAGGGTGTTCAAAGAGTCCTCCTCCTCCTGTGCAGGTTGCACCTGTGCATCCTTGCTTGCTGCTCCTCCAGCACTCTCTTTTCTCCTCTATCCTCCTGATACATTTCAGGATTTGAGGCATCCTTCAACATTACTTCTTGCCATTAACTTCCGGGTCACAGCCAGCGGGACGGAGGAGATGAGGAAGCACATATTAGAGAAAAGCCTCAGGTGAAGTAAAGATAATGCGTTACTCAAGGCTAACAACAAGGGAGCTGTCAAATAGTTCGTTTTGCTTAGCTTGCTTGGCTAATAATGAGAGCTGTTTGCATTCTCTAAATATTAAGGAAAGGCGCTTCACTGCTTCTTTTATTGCCTCCTTTAGCAGAGGAGACACTGGACACCACTGAAAGAATAACACCCGCTTCTTCTCGAGGTTTCGCCTTCACATAAATTTATATAACCTCCAAATCCACATAATGAGCTGTATTAAAATAATCAAAGTGTATGGAAGCTATAGTTTTATAGGTTTGCATTAGCAATATCTGCTGCTGCACTGCAGCATTTAGAGTTATGCTGGCAATACAATATAGAAGCTGTATTGCCAGCATATGCCACCACAGACACCCTGAATTGGCTAAGTGATGGATGAAGGGAATATTTCAGTCACAGAACAACTTTGAAAATGTGGAAAGGAAAGAAAAATATATTTAGCCACATGTGCCATGTTCTTTAACATTCACGTGTTTATATGTTTTTGTCATATTGCGTTTCTGTTTGAAAATGTGCTCATATTGTAGTCCATGTTGCGGACATTGTAGTTTCAACACTGAAGAACACTGTTGACGAGTCTAGTGTAAGTGCGATCTGATCCTCTGAGCGCTGCACTTCTCATTTCTTAAGACTTTTTCTATTCTTCCTAACACATTTCCACTAAGCAAGTGACTTTCCAGGAATTAGCCAAAAAATTGTAGACTTCTCAACCACACATGGTGTTCTTCCTGGTTAAAAAAAACAGGGTTAGGGTCCACGCCCCTTCATGCGTAAGTAGATAACATAACATGCATCAGTTACAGTTAGTGACAGCTGTCACTGTGCAAGCACGTATGCTATTACAAGCAAAACACTTCTTAGTAATACACTAAGCATAACTATGATATGACCGTTGTAGAGAATGCAATGCGAGTAAGCCTATATTATTCATAACGGGCTTGACAAGAATAGTTCTCACAGTTTCTGTTTGACGGAAGGCCAAAGCCTCACGCTAGGCAACGTAATCATCGAATAAAGCTAAAAACAGTTAGACAAGTTCCCTTTTTCATCAACATTTTACCATATACAGTGGGGCAAAAAAGTATTTAGTCAGCCACCGATTGTGCAAGTTCCCCCACCTAAAATGATGACAGAGGTCAGTAATTTGCACCAGAGGTACACTTCAACTGTGAGAGACAGAATGTGAAAAAAAAATCCATGAATCCACATGGTAGGATTTGTAAAGAATTTATTCGTAAATCAGGGTGGAAAATAAGTATTTGGTCAATAACAAAAATACAACTCAATACTTTGTAACATAACCTTTGTTGGCAATAACAGAGGTCAAACGTTTACTATAGGTCTTTACCAGGTTTGCACACACAGTAGCTGGTATTTTGGCCCATTCCTCCATGCAGATCTTCTCGAGAGCAGTGATGTTTTGGGGCTGTCGCCGAGCAACACGGACTTTCAACTCCCGCCACAGATTTTCTATGGGGTTGAGGTCTGGAGACTGGCTAGGCCACTCCAGGACTTTCAAATGCTTCTTACGGAGCCACTCCTTTGTTGCCCGGGCGGTGTGTTTTGGATCATTGTCATGTTGGAAGACCCAGCCTCGTTTCATCTTCAAAGTTCTCACTGATGGAAGGAGGTTTTGGCTCAAAATCTCACGATACATGGCCCCATTCATTCTGTCCTTAACACGGATCAGTCGTCCTGTCCCCTTGGCAGAAAAACAGCCCCATAGCATGATGTTTCCACCCCCATGCTTCACAGTAGGTATGGTGTTCTTGGGATGCAACTCAGTATTCTTCTTCCTCCAAACACGACGAGTTGAGTTTATACCAAAAAGTTCTACTTTGGTTTCATCTGACCACATGACATTCTCCCAATCCTCTGCTGTATCATCCATGTGCTCTCTGGCAAACTTCAGACGGGCCTGGACATGCACTGGCTTCAGCAGCGGAACACGTCTGGCACTGCGGGATTTGATTCCCTGCCGTTGTAGTGTGTTACTGATGGTGACCTTTGTTACTTTGGTCCCAGCTCTCTGCAGGTCATTCACCAGGTCCCCCCGTGTGGTTCTGGGATCTTTGCTCACTGTTCTCATGATCATTTTGACCCCACGGGATGAGATCTTGCGTGGAGCCCCAGATCGAGGGAGATTATCAGTGGTCTTGTATGTCTTCCATTTTCTGATGATTGCTCCCACAGTTGATTTTTTCACACCAAGCTGCTTGCCTATTGTAGATTCACTCTTCCCAGTCTGGTGCAGGTCTACAATACTTTTCCTGGTGTCCTTCGAAAGCTCTTTGGTCTTGGCCATGGCGGAGTTTGGAGTCTGACTGTTTGAGGCTGTGGACAGGTGTCTTTTATACAGATGATGAGTTCAAACAGGTGCCATTCATACAGGTAACGAGTGGGGGACAGAAAAGCTTCTTACAGAAGACGTTACAGGTCTGTGAGAGCCAGAGATTTTCCTTGTTTGAGGTGACCAAATACTTATTTTCCACCCTGATTTACGAATAAATTCTTTACAAATCCTACCATGTGAATTCATGGATTTTTTTTTCACATTCTGTCTCTCACAGTTGAAGTGTACCTCTGGTGCAAATTACTGACCTCTGTCATCATTTTAAGTGGGGGAACTTGCACAATCGGTGGCTGACTAAATACTTTTTTGCCCCACTGTATGGTAGTTTGTTTCGACCCTCACATCTTCCAGGTGTTTCCTGTTGACTTACAGTTTTCTTAACTCCTCTTTCGTCACTTGTTGCAGGGCAGGGCACAAATGCAATTTCAAGCTAAATGGAAGTCTGGAAGCATAAGGGCCATTCAATTTTGCCCATCTCCAATTTTTAAAATCTGATGGTCCACAATTTCCCCCTCACACACTGAAATCTGAGAAAATGTTTGAACATATATATATATAATAATATAATAATAATATGTAAATAATTTCCCCCAGGGATCAATAAAGTATTCTGATTCTGATGTCAACAACTTTTCAAAATAAAAGCCTGAAGTTCTCTCTCACCATAAAACTGTCCCAATTTTAAACCATAAAAATTTCAGGTAAATGAGAGGGGGTTGAACAGAACATTACACTATAATATATTAATATTATGCTTTAAAGTTGCACTAATTCTAATGGGTCAGATGTTGAACTGTCTGACAATAGGATAACATAAAGTGCCATTAGACTTTATAGCAATGTGTCTAATATTTAATTTATTATTTTCTAACAGAGCCTAAGAGTGGGTTAATGTTTTGGCTGTGTGTGTTCATCTGGACGTAACTACGTCCAGATGAACAGAATCAACTTTTGGAGATTTACTTACCTGGATGATTGAGAATGCACCAAGACGTTTTGGCTGTGTGGTTTTATTTCATAAAAGTTATATTTCTCTTTAAAAAATATTTTATTGACTCCTAGTAGAATAATGAGCCCCTGTAAAAGCTCACTTTTTCCTAACTCCAGCACTCACACCAAACTCCATTCAAAAAAACACGTGTTTTTAATGTTCTGCAGTCAGCCCTCTCTGTGTCCACATGCCGACATAAACGAAACGTTTCTTGTCTTAAACCAGGTGACATGTTGCTGAAACACACCTGCTGCCGTGCTGTATGTTACACACCTATTCTGTGCAGCTTTATTTCGGGGTTCCGGATGGTTTCCAGCAGTCTGCGCTGATGCTCCACTTCTGTCTCGCACTGCTCCATTTTACTTTCAAACTCTGTGAAGATTCCCTCAAATGCTCCATCCAGCCTCACGCCAATGACGCTCCTCCACCCACCAACAGAAGACATTGCTGCTGCAACAATTTACCACACTCATCGGCTACACAGCCATCCGCAACAAGGTTAATAACAGGCTAACGCTACTGTCACTACCCGATCCGTACCGGAAACCCTATCGGTACCCCGCATGCGCAAATTTTACGTCACTTCCTCTCTTTGCCAACATTGCGACATATTTGAATGATACAATACGGTTAGCGCCCAGTTAGCTCCTAGCATTTCTCAGTAGCTCTGCATCCTTTTCGACTACCGGGACATTTAAACAATGGATACTTCCGTATACAAACAAATTCATACTTTTCTCCTCAACAGAGAGCGTTCCCCGATTGAACAACAGCGCCGTAAAATAAGAAGAATGGCGCCTAATTACAGAGTTAATAATACAGACTTTGTAATATCTCACGTGTAGATTAATCAGCCAGATGAAGTGTTTACTGACAATTGACAGTGATAGTGGAAATCATCATCACTATTCCAATCAATCCTCTCCACACAGACAAGCATAAACACACTCGACTATCACTAAAGCAATTTAACACACGTTTGTAATGGGGCTAATTCAGTTTACAGTAGGGTTCATTCGCTCGGTCAGGGTTAGGGTTAGGGATTTTCTATCAGATCTAGTTCAATAATCATATGATTCAGATCCAGAGCTTGTTTTTTATCCATAAATGTAACAGATGAGAGGAAGAGCCAGAGTTCTTTGTGAAAAGTAAAAAAGGACGGCTTTGTTTTCAGAAAACGACATTTGTGAATGAAGAATTTGCCCATAATAATTATTACATTTAGAACATTTTCAAGCTTATTTTCTTTTCTTAGAGAACCAAAGATAATATCATTTTTAGAAAATTCAAGTAAGTTTGGAATCTTTGGAAAGAGCCAGTAGTGCACATCGTTCCACAGGGCTTTACAGAATATACAATTATAAAATAAATGTTCTGTTGATTCAATATCCCCATCACAAAAAGAGCAAGAATTATTATCAATAGCAAAGCGACGTCTGAGAAATTCTTTGGAGGAATGGGAAGTTTAAGGTAATTTTTTCTGATCTCTTTCTTTTGATCACAAGAGAACAGATGTGAGATGGAATTTGGATTGGATCTATAAGGGAAAAAACATTAATAAATAATTCCCTAATTTGGGAGTTTTTTAGACTGTTAGCTGTAATGTTATGCCCATTTACCAAGAGTTCAGGGAGGTCAGGGGATCTATAGTCAGGGTTTGGAAAAAGATTAAATGCTGTACATAGAATGTTTTGAGGGATAGCCTTAGTAATTCTTTGAAATTCTTTGTTATTTATTTGCAGATTATAATTGGTGGTGAAATCTTCTAATAAAAATTTACCTCTATCATTTAACAAATGCATCACTGACCAGATGCCCTTATCGTACCATTTCTTTTATAAAGATTGATTTGTTTCCAACGTTTATGTAACGACAGTTCCATAGGGGAGTGTTGTGTGGGCTATAGTTATGTTTGTATATTAATTTCCAGTATAATAAAACTTGCTGGTGAAAGGAAGAGAGCTTTATGGGGAGTTTTGTTTTATGTCAAAATCACATCTAAGTAAAAGATTAATTCCGCCTAGATCTGAGAATATTTTGCTTGGAATGTGAAACCAAAGGCTATTTTGACTTCTTAAAAATGACCTAAGCCAATTTATTTTTAGGGTGCCATTTAAGCTGTCAAATTCAATAGCTTGCAAACCTCCATCTTCAAAATGTTTGACTAAATTACCTTGCCTAATATAGTGGGCTTTGCGTTTCCATATAAAATCAAACTTTAGCTGGTTAATAGATTTGATTGCTGGTTTAGGCACTCCTACCGTATATGCAGGATATACTAGCCTTTCCATTTTGGTGAGAAAAATTCTACCCAAAATCAATAAGTCTCTGAGCCCAGTTATTTAAATAAGTTCTATAAATTTGGATTTTCTCCCAAATATTAAGGTAATCTAAATCAGTCTTATTCTTGGTTATATACACACCCAAATATTTGACAGTGGATTTAACAGGAATATTAAAAGTGTTAGAAATAGTACAATCATTTAAGGGTAAGATCTCACATTCGTTTAAATTTAGATTTAACCCTGAAGCTTTGGAGAAAGTTTCAATAATTTGCAGAATTTTGGGGATTTCATTCAGGTTATTTAGGAAAATAGTTGTATCATCGGCTAACTGGCTGAAGGGACACAGCTAGTGACACGCCCAGCGGTTTCAATTTACTTCCGCCCGATGTCGGTGGATGTCCGGAAGTATGTAGGTGGAGTTTAATTTTTTCTGTTATTATTTCCATTTATTTAGCATAAAAAAATACAGGCAATTGAATGCAATTAATAACATAACCATAACAGTTAAAAAAAAGAATTTCAAACACATTAAATTAATTTAATAAGAAGGTTTAAGGCTTTGTAAATAAAGTTTAATTTGGTTTTTGGTATAAGCGCTGGTGTATGAGTGAGATACTATAGGTACAAAAACGTTAATGTGTATAGTATAAAGTGCATTATAAGAGTTTCAAACTTTCTCCAGGTAGTAAATAATATTCATTTTCTGTATTTCAATCTTCTTCTTTTTTTGTCACTTATCCAGGTCAAGATTATGGAGGCAGCTGTCTAACTAGAGCAGACTTCCTGGTCAGCTCCTCTGATGGGGATACCAAGGATTTACCAAGCCAGCTGAGAGGCATAAACAGTCCAGTGTGTGACTGGGTCAGTTGGGCCTACCCAAAACACCTTACTTAGCAGACATCCAGGTAAGGTCCTAGTCAGTACCCAAGCCACCTCAGCTGGCTCTTTTCAGTGAGTCACCTTTCTCCTCTGAGCCTCTCCTGAATGACATGATCTCGAATGATCCCAGGGGCTGTTTTCCCTGGTCTCCAGAGGCAAATTAGTCCCAGGTGTGTGGTCAGGCTACAAGTGATTCAAAGCAAGGAATGAAGGCTGTATCCCAATTCAGGGTCTGCAGCCTTAAAGTACCCATTTCAAGGCCGATTACGTCACAGCGGCGCGACGAAGGCTGTCCCAATTCAAAGGCTGCTCGAAATGCGGCCCTGAAATGCGTCCTTCATTTCCCTGAATTTTAAGGCTGTGGCAGTGTAGACTTCGTGGCCCAACATATCCCAGAATGCATAGCGCGGCGGTGGGTGTGGATAATTTTGCCGAAAAAAAACGGCGGATGAGGGGCGCCCGAAGAGTAAACTTTAAGTACTGAATATTATGTCACTTATTTATGTGCAAATGTTTAATAACGAAGAACATTAAAACATTACTGTTGGCCACATGTCGGCAAAGTTATGTGACATTAGTGACGTTTGTACTAACTTGGTTTTAAAGCCTTTACTTTAAAATATACGCCGTTCAATAGCTGAGCTTAATCTTACAGAGAATGATCAAAGCTCATGTAGAAACAAACAAACAAATGAACAAAAGATTTTCTCCTTCATTTCTGTCAAACAAAGCTGTATGACACGTTTCCAGCTGTTAGTATCATGGTTGCTAGGCAACCTGGGCAGCGCAACGGAGGCTAGACCGTCCCATTTCACAAGCCTCGCACTTCCGGCCTTAGCGGTCTTTGAGTACGCGGCCCTTGAGGATCGTTGAGGCTGCGTACTTTAAGGCTGCAGACCCTGAATTGGGATACAGCCGAAGTCACCTCACTTGGTGCAGGATTATCTGGTCCTTAGCCATGGAGCTTGGTTTGGCCTAGTCCCTGATACCACATAAGCTGGAAATCTAAAACAGCCAAAAAAATATCTTAGAAGCAAGTCTTGAAAATCTTATGGGAAATTATTTAGAAGCTTTATATAATTTGAATTTGATTTTTAATAAAATCATCAGCCAAGTTTGATGGAAATGACTGCTGTCAGTTTGAATTTTGTATTTTTATCGTGTCCTCTTCTCTGTTTTCATTACACATAACTTTGTTTCACCATCACTAAAACTTTTATAAGGCAGGTATGATAGTAGTGTGTGAATCAGTGCTGCTACCATTAAATTTCTACTGCTGATATACAAACATAAAATTGTCAGGAAACCTCTGTACCTCCTGCAGGATCTGTTCGCCATCACAACCGGACATAAAACCCAGTGTAAAGCCTCCATCCAGCCCTGCCATGTTTTCTCTCTTTGAATTGCTCCCCATTGGAGGCGTTTTATGCCTCCGGCGAAGAAAGAATATTTACAACAAGCTGGAATTTTAAACATGAAGCTGGGTTTGTTTTCTCTGTTTTTTCTCACTTTCCAGAGAAGGTCGTAGTGGCAGCTTTATGGCCAACATATTAGAGCTGGGTGACAGCCGGCCTGCAGTATCACCACTCAAGGACTAGATGTGATTCTTGGCCATTGCAGTTCTCTGACTCTGAGAGAGAACGAGGCTTTGTTATGAGTACCCAGCTCCCTAATCTCTTCTCCCAGTGCCCTTCTGTCCTTGGTGAAGCCTGACCTGAACACTGCGTGCCGGTGTGAATGCAGAACGTTTTGTCTGGCTTTTGCCCAAGGCTGCCGCAGGTTTTGGTGAGTAACGAGTCACGCTCTCAACAGCGTTTCCTGTGGAAATAAATAGCCGCACGTATGATATTAGAGTATATGTGGATAGTGCTTTCATCTGTGACCTGTCCTTTGAGCTACGCAGGATAAACACAGCGAAGCCATAAATCAAAAGGAAGGTGTTCCAAGGCACTCGTCGAGCAGAAAATAAAGAGCAAAACAGAGGGGTGTTGCTTTTGCTGCTTCTTTATTTATTTATTTTCAAATAGAAAATATGAAAATGAACTCTCTGGCCCCTGGGCCTAAATCAGCATGACACAACAACAGTGTAGAAAGAAGAAAAAATGGAAATTAAAATGAAAACGCACAGCAAGCTTTCTCGTAAGTTTATACTATTGGTTCTTACAACACAAGAACAAGCTGTAGAGGAATCCAGTGGCTTTCATGTCAGCCACATACAAACACAAAGTCGGGATGCTGTGTGACATGTAAATAAAACACACAATGCAGTGATGTGCAAATCTCATATGTTTAATTCACAATAGAAAACAGAAAACACATCAAAAGTTTCAACTGAGTAAAAGAAATATTATTTTAAGAATATTTTAAGAAAAATATCAGCTTGA